CCTCCAGCTGGGTCCTGGGTGCCAGCTCTGAGCAGGCTCCTCTGCCTGGGTCCTGCCACTCAGTTCACTAGCAGGAATTCTGGAGTTCCCAATTTAAAATCTGCAAAATCTCTGATAGAAAATTCCCAAAGCTGCACAGTTAAATACTCCAAAATCCATGTTCTTCCACAATTTAAACAAAAGACCACTAGACGTGTGTGTGTGTGTGTGTGTGTGTGTGTAAGTGTGTGTGTGTGCATGTATTATATATAGATATAGATAGATAGTATACCTGGATCTCCAGGTATCAAAATTTGACTCCATGCTGCAAATATGCAGCATGGGGAATGTTTTTTTTGTTCCCAGTGTGCCTCTCGCAACATCTCAAACTGGTTGGGGACATTGCATCCTGTTCCATGCCATGCAGCTGTGGAAGCAGAACGCCAGCAATGAAGAAAAGAAAAAAGAAAAAAGCCACACAAGAAAAAAAAAATGGAAGCAGTTCAAAAGCAAAAACAATTTGAAGGGGTGAGCAACAAAAAAGTTGCAGTCATCTGGTGGACAAAGAGACTCATTACACATCTTTGATTGCCTTCATGTTTGCATGCAACAAATCCATGGATGCGACACTTTAATTCCCAGAAAGCCAAACTAAACCATGTCTGACAAGTTGTAGTTTAATACACAAGAAAGGCTTTTAAAACATTGGGAAATCCCACTTGTGCAAATAGATATGCAGTTGCAGTGCATGAAAGGGCCAAAATCATGGCGTGTACATGAGCCCAGGGGTACTACATTTAAGTTCCTAAATATGGATATAGATGCCTAACTTCAGGCTCCTACATTTGAAAATGATGGCTATATTTTGACCTGCATCCTGATCATTTGCTATGTTTTCCTACTTGGTTATCTGCTTTCAAAGAAACATCCTAAGTTTTATTTATCAGGCTAGTTTGCTTCATGAATACAGGCAGAGATTTGTATTGAAATACCTTCAGGGCATTAGTATTGCCCTCTGATCAAATTAATATATATTCTAAAGGGAATAATAATATCTAAACTCTTTGCAAAGTGCCTGCACACTTTTTGCTCTGGCTGACATTATACTATATTACCGTTGTGCGGTATATTGTTCATTATCTCAGACAGCATCATAGAAAGTTAGGGCTGGAAGGGACCTCAGGAGGTCATCTAGTCCAACCATCTTCTCAAAGCAGGACTGTCCCAGACTAGATCACCCCAGCCAAAGCTTTGTCTAGCCAGGTTTTGAAAACCTCCAAGGATGGAGCTTCCACCACCTCTCCGGGTAACCTGTTCTAGTGTTTTACTACCCTCCTAGTGAGAAAATTCTTCCTAATATCTAACCTAAACTTCCCATCCAGCAACTTGAGACCACTGCTCCTTGTTCTGTCATCTGCCACCACTAAGAACAGTTTATCTTCATCCTCTTGTAACACCCCCCCTTCAGGTAGTTGAAGACTGCTATTAAGTCTCCTCTTATCTGGATGAAATAAGCCCAGTTCCCTCAGTATTTCCTCATAAGTCATGTCCCCCCCACACCAGTTCTGTTGGCCTCCACTGCACTCTCTCCAATTTGTCCACATCCTTTCTGTAGTGGGGGCCCCAAAACTGAACACAGTACTCCAGATGTGGCCTCACCAGTGCTGAATAGAGGGGAATAATCACTTCCCTTGACCTACTGGTAACACACCTACCAATGCAACCCAGTATGCTGTTAATTTTCTTGGCAACAAGGGCACACTGCTGGCTCATATTCAGTTTATTGTCCATTGTAACCTCCAGGTCCTTTTCTGCAGAGCTGTTGCCCAGCCAGTCAGTGCCCAGCCTGTACTGCTGCATGGGATTGTTCCATCCTAAGTGTAGGACTTTGCACTTATCCTTTTTGAACCTTGTGAGATTCCTTTTAGACCAATCCTCCAATTTGTCTAGGTCACTCTAAATCCTAGCCCTACCCTCCAGTGTATCTACTACTCCCCCCCACCTCCCCCGCCCAGCTTGGTGTCATTTGCAACAGCTAGACCATTTCTTGGTGTCATGATGCAGCAGCTAGACCATTTCTGATACCCAAGTTAGCAGGGTCACAGGTACTTAATGTATCTCAACACTGCATTACACTGTGTTTGTAGACATGCCCTCATTTCTGCCAATGTTTTCTGAGATTTTCTGTATTGTATATTTATTGCTGAAGTGCCACTGAGTCCAGGGGGTTTGGGATGGGATCAAGTCAAAGTCTATGTACCATTCTAGTCCCATTTAATTCTACAAATGAATAGATAATTGGATGCATTCGTAATGTTGTAATACTTGATGGTACTGTAACCTTTTATAGTAGAATATATGCTATTATTCATAGAAGTCAGACATATGCCTGCTTTTGTATCAGCTTACATAGAATCAGATAAATACAAACATGATAGTATATCGGTTGTTCAAACACGTATGTAATGGCCTTCACCCCTGTGGAAATAAACTACTAATGTTCTGGAAGAATAATGCTATCAAGGAGAATATATAGTAACTGGGAGACTTCAAATCAGTTTTCTTGAAGACTTTAAACATTGCTACATTGAAATATTAAGGTTGGGTATGTGGCAAAAGAAAAATCAAACATATAGTAATGATATTAAATTATTGTCAATACACATTCAATTTCAGCATCAGTCTCAAGGAGGCCAATTAACTTTCTTCAGGCTGCTGAGCAATTAGATTATTGGTCTTGCTGCATGTTGCTCCTTTGAATTCTTTTGGCACTGGTTTCTAAGGAACTGGGATAGCAAAACAATAGTATTACTTATTATAGGTCTATTGTATCAAACTGTTCACCAAGCCAGATTCTAACATCCTTGTTCATGCTTAAAAGTGCACAAGGCTGAAACAACATCATTACCACAGTTTCACTAACCTGCTTTCTCAGACATCAAAGTGCTCTGAATCAGAAATCATCTTGTTTTGTATCTATTTAAATCTTGTAAAGTTAGTTTTCAGCTTAGAGAATGTAATTTCCTTGACTAAAGGGGTTTTGTTGCAGTGACCCCATACTGTATACAGCTAGCTCACTTTTGTGTATATATTAGATAAGGCTATAATTTGCTGAACTTGGTAACATGTGGGATCCATTTTTTCCACCTAGTGCTTACATTATAACAAACATTGATTATCTGCATAGAGGTCAAGTGCACTAACCACTTAAGTGCACGGCATCTTTCAATTCCACTATTTGGTAATATTTGCATTCCACTTAATACCACATAACAATTTGAGCCAAAAGTGGTGAAGAAGCAGTAGCTGACAAAGGGCGGCTATAAGAAGCTTTGAGTATGGTGGGAAGTCAGTTTCAGGGCTTTTATTAAAAGGATTGAAAATAATGAGAACTAGTCAGTTTAGAGGCAGCTAATACCACAGCACTGACAACAGCTGGATTATTCTGTACTCAGGGAGTATAGGTTATATTAAGATCAGTTAAGTGCATACTCTGGGCAAGCATGCTCCCTTTTTTCTGTCTCAAACCTACTTAGAGTCCACTATAGCTTTATGGGTGCTAGTCGTCTAGAATTAGCTTTCAGTATATGCTACTAAAGCTGTGTA